GAATTTGCAGTTGCTTCTCTTATGGTTGGCTCCACAACTTTGGCAGAGTGCGTAGCGGAATTTGCATTTGTGCGGAGTCCTTAGAATTCGTGGACTCTGATTGTCCCGAATCCTGATGACTTCTTCTTCATCACTCTTCGGTTTGTGATTCTTTGTTGCCGGAAACTTCTCTAAACCTGGTGAAGTGTCACGGGCGAGTTGACGAGGCGGTGCGTGGTTGCGGTGCCTTCGAGCAGCCGACTTCCTGGTTTCTTCTGCTGCAGTAGCATAGGTGACAGCTTTTGGAAAGCTGACGTTGTCTTTCTCCATAGGCCTTCTGTGCCCGTGTCGTGCATCTAATCCCGGAACTGGGCAGCTATGGCTTTTCTGTTGTTCCCTCTGGTAACACTCGTGTCTTCGGGCCAGTGTTGATGCTGTGGATGCATAATGAGCCTGAAGGAGGGGTGCGAGGGTGTCCCAACCCATTTCTGTTACTACAGCCGGTTTCGCGATTGCTTTAGCCACCCGGAATACGGCAGGCCCGCAGTACGTCAAAAATACTGCTCTTTTCTTGCTGGTGGACACATCCTCTAAATTGTTGGTTTCCAAGAATATCTGGAAACGTTCCATATACGACTCCCAGTCTTCTTTGTCTGGGTCAAAAGGAGCGGGTGGTATAGCGCCGCCTGACATCCTGTAGATGTAGGTGCGCTCTCAGCCACGTACTTCGGTTGGTGCTCTGTAGGGTTTAGCCAGCTCTATTGTCTCCGAATCCCATCCTCGTCGCCAGTGTTAAGTATGAGGCATGGGCGTAGAAACGGAGACGAAACTGCTTCTTGTGAACTTCAGCTCTTTATTTAAAGCATGATAACAGAGACAAAACCCCCGGATAGCGGCCGCCCTTTTATAGAGTGAACTGCTATCCGGATGATCAATGGATGTTGTTATAGGGTCTGAACCTCGTCCAATGGGACTTGGCCCGCCAACACCCAGTCAGATTGCTCGGAATTAACCAATCATAACATGCCATTATAAGGGCCAATAGGAAGTGCAGGATTACGATCCTGCTATGCAAATGAATCTTTATTAATTACATTTCTTTAGTTCACAACAAATACAACTTTATAATGCCTTGGTAAGATATTTGGAATGCACATTGCATCCAGTTTTGATTGCTATGCTGTAAAAAACGATAAGACACTAGAAAGAGCATAGAAAAGAGCAACAAAGATTATTAGGGGATTGAAGGCAAAAATATATGAAGAACAGTTGCAAGAATCGGGTATGTCTAGTTCAATGAAAAGAAGAACTGGAGATGACATGATAGCAGTGTTTCAATATCTATGTGGCTGCCACAAAGAAGAGGGAGTCAAGCTATTCTCCAAAGCACCTGAAGGCAGGATAAGAAGCAATGGATATAAATTAATCAAGGAAAGAAGCAACCTAGAACTAAGGATAAATTTGCTGACATTTATAACAATTAATCAATGGAGCAACTTGATTCCAAAAGTTATGGGTGCTCCAACACCGGAAATTTTTAACAAGAGATTAGACAACCATTTGTCTGAAATAGTTTAGGTTTTCTTGCTTGAGCAGGAGTTGGAATAGAAGACCTCAAAGGTCCCTTCCAATTCTGTTATTCTGTTAAGTTGTAGAATACTGGTTTCAATTAGAATAATGAAATTATGGTGGCACAGTGGTTAGAGTGCAGTACTGCAGGCTACTTCTGCTGGCTGCTGGCTGCTTGCAGTTTGGCAGTTCAATCTCACCAGGCTCAAAGTTGACTCAGCCTTCCATCCTTCTGAGGTCAGTAAAATGAGGAAACAAATTGTTGGGGGCAATATACTGACTCTGTAAACTGCTTAGAGAGGGCTGTAAAGTCTAAGTGCTATGCTTTTGCTAATGACTGGAAGATTTTGGGACTTGTAGTCTAGAACCTACTTCCACTTTGGGAAGATTGCATTAGCTGGTTTGCTTTTTAATTTGTTCTAAATTATAATATTTTATTGAACAATTAATAAAAAACAACCACAGATGCACAAATAGCAGTTTTCTATGTTTACAGATAAACACACTTTCTAGAATATATCATTGAAAGAGCAAAAGTGATATTTACCCTAATGTCATGTGCCTTTAAGTTTAGAGTCTAGAAAATATAGTTGATTTAGATCAGTATTTCTCAAAGTTGGTAACTTTAATATTTGTAGATTTCAACTCCCAGAATCCCCCTTAAAGTTGTTAAGTTAGAAAAGCACTGATCTAGATAAAAGCCGGTATGTTCATTTCTTCTCTGTTTCAATATGTTACAATAAGATTAAGATAAAGACAACTGTAAACCTTAAAAGCCTCTAGAATTAATGAAGAGGATCCAGTAAATGCGTTTTATTACATTATTGAACTCAGAAAGTTTATCACTACAGATGTATTGAACACTGAGGTATTGCTCTCTGTAAGTCACAAATTACCATTTTATTTACTGACTGGATTTAAAAAAAAAGGAGGACAGTACTGACCCATCTTTTTCCTCTACATCCCGGCCACTGTAGTCAAAGAAAATGTCTGAATCTTCAGCTAGAGCTCGCTCAATCACACGTATTGTCCGGTCAAAAAATATAAGGAATTCTTCTGAATGTAGAATCTGTTGCTTTTCTTCCTCTGTCAATTCTCTAGGAGGAGCTTCCAAAAGAATATTGGCACCATTAAACATACAAGCATTTAAATATTTCCAGATGAATCTAAGTCTTCAGAAAAGAAATGAGATCTTCCTATGAAACCTATAGTGAAATTGGTAAGACTGAATGGTTTGCTGCCTTCTAAAGGGAAAAAAATTGAATTCATTAATATTGCACTACATAATCCTAAAATGTGGCTTCTATACCAAAGACATCCTATATCTTGCATATTTATTATTAAGGAGAAGAAAATAGTTAAGATCACACACACACAAAACCCTTCACATTCAGATTTCAGGAAATATTTTTGACTGATGCTCACGAATCAGGCAAGCTTGGAAAGGCAGTGAAACAGGCTTAACAAAAAAGTAGACTTAAATGCTTTTTCAATCCAGAAGCCATCTTCAATTTCAATTTCTAAACCAAATAAATCCTAAAATCTTCTTAAAATATGAAGCTGAGCTTTACTCCTGATGGCTAAATGTAGTTTTATTGGCAATAAGTTGGAAGTACCGTAGTTTGTTGTTGCTTTCTTCGGGGATTTTTTTTTCTTTTTTAATTTTTCTGTCTGGGATTTAGAGATGACTTCCTATCCCAGTATTAACAAGGCATAACAACAAGGTGGTTGTTGTTTTTTCCAAATTAAATGAGGGTCAGATGTGTGCTGATACCTAACTAGGTTAAATTATTCTTAACTGATTAAAATGCATGCTTTGCTCTATTTATCATAAACAGAAGTTACATAAAGAAAAGTTATTGAAAAACCATTTTATAACATTGGATCTTTCTGATTATTGAAAACCCATCATGCTCAATTTTTTGAAAGTATTAGAAAAAAATCAGTTTAAAGTACAGGGACCAGATTGATGCATTAGAAAAAGTATAAAGGTTGAAGTTATATTTAGTACAGATAATATTTTCCAAAATATCATTACTAATGCATGATAATAAATTATGGACTGTAAAACTGAGTGAAGATGGAATATTTTTTAGTATTCCCAATGTAATACCAAAAAAGAAACCAAACCTTTTCTTATTATGTCCATAAACATTTTCATCCTTCTTCTTTGCTTAATACACAAATTAAATGTAAAGGCTCCTTACTACATTATGTTGATTTAGGTCATCCTAAAGCAAACAATGCTCTAATATCTCTTTTGAATTATGTCTATTACGTTTGAAATAAGACTAAGTGAATTCTATCCCATATTCCTCATAGATAATTTTAGATGTGCAAATGGGTAATAGGTCATAATTGCATTATAGCATCAGTGAACCTATATTCAGCATACCAATTAGCACCAATCTGAATGGCTAAAGACAGATGAAACAGAAAAAGAAAGTTGCAGAGAGCCTTCACCTAAAAGTGATATTATTGATAGGGTTTGCACTTCATACTAAACCATAATGCAGTTTCTTAGATTTTGACATAGCACAAGGTGCAATTCTAAGACTGCATAGACGTAAACCAGAGCTTCGCATGCTTTCATGCTTCATGGTACCCTTAATTTCTTAGTAGTTTTTTACGTAGTGCCTCAGGTGGCAGATGTCAAAGTATCGTATTTTCCTCAAAAATTTAAAATACCCCATAGTGTTCCTCTGAGTTCACTGTGAGCACAGTTTGGTAACTGTGGTTGTAAAGCATATTTCATAGTTTAGTATTAAGTGAATCAAGACACTACCTTTTTCAATAAACTATATTTGAACACAATCAATGTATGCAATACACCTACAAAAGTATAATTTCAGCCTTAGTGATTGGAACATTAACTTCACCACTTTGTGCTGTTTTTAAACATGAAAAAAACCTGTAAGAGAAGCATAGAATAGAATTGATAAAAAGAATTGATAAAAAATCAATTCTGTTTAAACATTTTGGCAAAACAGATTTTATTTTAATGGCACAATCACTGCAAACAACAGGTATCCAGAAATTAAAATTAGCTATTATTATGTATAAACATGAAAACATATTTGTTTTAGACAATGAACAAAATTTAAATAAGAAAGAAAACCTAAAATTTGTGGATGATCTGGATGACTGAGAATCTCCATAGACATTTAATATATAGCCCTTTTAAAATACGTGTTATTCTAAGCATGAAATCATATACTTTTTGAAGACCTCAGGCCATGAAAACTTTTGTGGAAACTTGAAAAATTACCAGTAGTATCAATCAATACTGGACAAAGAAATCTGACTTAGGATTTAGTAATTTTCTATATTTTTGTTCTTTTTACTATTCAAATTGCAAAGGATAAAATATCAAATGTAGCAGATAATATTGCATAGAATCTCACTTTTTAAAAAAGAAATGTCCAGATTTTTGTTTCACATGTTTACTCTCTTAAAAACAACAACCCAAATTCTAATGTTTCGAAGTAGCAAATTATTTTAATTTGGATGAATTAAATTTTACAGGGGAGTTATAGAATCTTTCAAAACCAAGAACTGACCCAGCTTAGCTGCTTTGAGAAATGTGAATGGTACTGCTAAATATTAGAAATTAGAAATTCTGCAAGTGTATTTTTAAAAATGTATTTTGCTATGCATGGAAAAAGAAACATAACCATGCATTTAACTTACTAGATACTAATTTTCAGGAAAGCCCTTAATTCAGAATAAATATTGCTGAACCCAGTAATAGCAGGAAACATTAATCAAAATACATGTGTTGCCACTAACATGCTTGTAAACACTGTCTTGAAGCAAAAACAAAAGTTGTGAACTCAGGAAAGGAAGGGTCTGCGTGATGGAATTATGTGATTAAAAACCTTAAGAAAACAGAAAAGTTTAGTTAATGAAGCTTCCTCATAATTATTTATATGATAATCTATTCCTATGTATTTGTGGATAAACTTTTAGATCCACAATATTCTCAGTGACATGAAACTAATCTTTTCCATTTCAAATGTTGGATGGCTAAGATTATTCAAGAAAAAATACTCTGTGCATGCAGATAGGCATTTTTATAAGATTGCTGATTCTTATGTTCCATGTTCAAGCAATGGCTTTCATATGAGAAATCATCAATAAGCCCAGATTTAATTATCCTGAGATAAATTTCATGAGAACAAACTACATGTATGTTTCACTTCTCTCATTGGATTAGATTTTACGGGATAAACTTTTTTGAAATATTGAAATGGTATAAAAGGAAGTGAGGCAGCTAACTGAAACCCAACCAACTTCCAGTGTCAGTTTCAATTTATTATTTTCTTTTCAGTTGCTAAAATATTAACATCCTCACAAAGTACTGCTGTCTCTGATTCAACTACCAGACTTCCTTTTTAAACCTGTGGTCTGAATGTCTCAAAAACTATTACTACCAAAAAGAAAAGAAAGAAGGAGGGGGGTGGATTTTACAACTATCATTCGCTTGAGATCTGGCTTAGGAAGACAAGAAGAGGAGCCAGGGGCAACACAAAACACTTCAACTAGACTAAACTATAACAAAAAAGAGATGATGTTAGTTATGGCTATCCTTCAAATACAGCTGAGGTATACATAGAAGTCATTTGCAAGCCCGTGAAAACCTAAAATAAATATATATCTTTCAGGAGTCTATTTAACTTGGCTTTTAAAAAGCATTCACTCATAATTCACTACGTCGTCTTCCAGAGATACACGAATTATGGTTGCTTTCATGTGGCAAGGAGAGGAAACTTGACCCAATTCTCAACCACGGTTCAGCAACTGAGTATAGTTCTTCTGTTTTAACTAAGGTTATTGGCGTCTCTGCTGATAAGACCTGCATTTAAGTGAGCAGAATATCTTTAAGTGTAAATTTAAATTAATAGAGTTCAGGAGTACCCACACTAGTTAGTGCTAAAGGCAAAATATAAAATCTAGGAAACTACTTTTTATCTGTTCAGACCCTTTGTCCACTCAGTTTAATCTGACCCATAACCACTCTTCAGAATCAAAAGTTCTCCACACTAGTGGAATCTACTTAATCTTTTTTAACTGTAATGTTAAATCTAGGAATATATTTGCTTGTTTGATTTATACACTACTCTGGCAAGCAGTCAAGCTAGCTAAAGAAAAATAAAATATAAAAACTTAGTGGAAATTAACTTGAATTAGATATTAAAAGCATCTCAAGTCGATAAGCCTGTCAAAGGAAATCTGTCTTCACAGGTTTCTAAATGCTTACAAGAACTCCCAAGAAAGTACATTTCACAGGCAGAGCAATGAGAAGAAGATTCTCTCTCACGTGTCAGAAAGATGGGCCTCTGACCACGAGGCATATATTAATTTTAATAAATCTAGACTGGAACGTTCCCAAAAAATACAAAAACCAAAAAAACCTCAGTGCAATATATTTCTAGGCTTAGCAGAACTCAGATCATTCAGCTAACTTGTTTTGATCAATGATCAAAGAAAAAAGGTAACATACAAGCCAAAGGATTTTAGACCTTGTAGTTATAATGTTAAACAGACAGACAGACAGACAGACAGACAGAGAGAGAGAGACCTGGCTACACCCAGTTATACCTGATACAGCAATGGAGTTGACAAGTCGAGTCATTTATCACTGATAGAAATGGCGACTCCGATAAGAGCAAGGGAAGAGGACTCTATCTATATACACAGTGACTGGTGTGTTAACAGCAGAGTAGTTTATATGTATTGCTCCCCAGATGTGGAGCTGATGACTGTCACATGTAGGCCATTTTATCTGCCTAGAGAAATCACTATGATAATTATTATAGCTGTTTATATTCCACCTGATGCCAATGTCAATGCAGCGCTTTCTAAGCTAAATGATGTCATCTCCAGGCGGCAGCATACTCACCCAGAGGGTGCTCTTGACATGGCCGGAGACTTCAATCAAGCCTGTTTAAAGACAGTTCTCCCTAAATTTGTGCAGTATGTGCAATTTTCCACCAGAGGGAAGAACACTTTTAGACCAGTGGTTCCCAAACTTTTCCAGTCCACTGCCGCCTTGGTGCTACAAACTCATCCTCAGTGCCCCCCAGCCAGGGGTGGGATTCAAATTTCTGTGGGTGTGACCTAATTTGAGGGCGTGGCTTGCTGGTCACGTGACTGGCTGGGCGTGGCTTGCTGGATGGGCGTGGCTTGCTGGTCACATGACCGGGTAGATGTGGTTTGGTGGTCATGTGACTGGGTGGGTGTGGTCAGGTAACTGGCAAACCAAATACAAGTGGTCCTCACTTAATGGCCAGCTGTTTAGCAAGTGTTCAAATTTATGACTGGCCTCCCCAGAGATACTTGACCTGTTTTTGGAGTTTTGACAGCCATGCACACCCCCCCCCCCACCCACCCCCACACACACTCCTTTCTAACCCTGCTGGAGCAGGTCATTGCACTAGAATCGGCAAAGCATCTCTGATTAGATTCTAGTAGTGAATAGAATCTAATCAGAGATGCTTTGCCGATTCTTGTTGATTTGTTTTATTTGTATTTCTTTATTTTATGTTGCTGAATTGCATTGACATGTGTGTCCCTTCTTGTGCACAGCCCAGAAGCTTTTGTGATTCTTTGCAGCAAAAATTACTGACCTCTGGCTTTGCTCTACTTTTCAAACGTGCTGCCACTGCCACGTTCTAAGTGCTGGCCCTGCAGGTCCATCCCATTGAGCCCGCTGCACCAGAGGGACCTGCCCAAGCAAGTCCGAGCAGAGCAGTGCACCAAGTCAATGGGGTGAGCCTGAGAGAGAGAGAAAGAGAGAGAGAAAGAGAGAAGGAAGAAAAGAAAGACAAAAGGGAAAGAACAATAAAGGGGCAGACAAAGAAAGGGGGGATGGAAGGAAGGGACAGAAAGAAAAAGAAATAAAGAAGGAGGGAGGGAGGGAGGAGAAAGATAATGAGATATCTATTCTAATCCAATCACCTGCACCAGCAGGGTTAGAAGTGTGTGTGTGTGTGTGTGTGTGTGTGTGTGTGTGTGTGTGTGTGTGTGTGTTCTCCTTGTAATTTACCAGTACATTTTGGTTTTGCCTTCTTCAGAATTGGCACTGTAATACATTTGGGAAAAGTAATTTTTTAGGGTGGAGATCTGGTCCAATGGATCCTGTTTAAAGCCTCAACAAAATGTGAGAGCTTCCTGATAGTCTTGACCATGTTTCGTCCACAAAATCTTTTAGAAGTCAAAGAGGTTTCAATGTGGAAAAGGGCCTCAGTCTAACTAGGCCCTCATTTCAATCTGATGCATCAAGTCTCTCTCTCCCTCTCTCTCTCTCTCTCCATCCCTCCCTCCCTCCCAGACTGGCTTTGCTCTACTTTCCTGATGTGCCTGCGGGGCCAGCACTTCAAACATAGATGGATGGATGGATAGAGAGGGGGGGGAGGGAGGGAGGGAGGGAGGGAGGGAGGGGGAGAGAGAGAGAGAGAGAGAGAGAGAGAGAGAGAGAGAGAGAGAGAGAGAGATATGTTGGTAGATAGATAGATAGATAGATAGATAGATAGATAGATAGATAGATAGATAGATAGATAAATAGATAGATAGATAGATAGATAGATAGATAGATAGATAGATCTATATTGGTAGGCAGATAGGTAACTAGGCAGACAGAAAGACAGGCAGACAGGTAGATAGGTTGTCAGGAAGGCAAGCAGGCAGGCAGACCTTTTGGATGGATGGACAGACAGACAGAATGCGACAGCGGTGGCACTTTGGGAAAGTAGAGCAAAGCCAGAGTGACTTTCCCAATGTGCTGCCACCGCTGTGTTCGACGCCATTGAGCCCCTTGCACTGCTCTGGTGCAACAGTCAATGGGATGAGCCTGCGGTGCCGGCGCCTCAAATGCCCCCCTGCCGCCTCTTAGTGCCCCCCCGTCCCACCTCCCATAATCCCCAACATCGCTTTGCACCGACTTCTAAGCCTTGGCCCACCAAGCAAAACCTCCCGACACTCGACTCCACCAAGAACGCTCAACATGCCAAAAGGCCCGCCCTACATAATTCCTGCGACACAACTACGAGGCGGCACATGTGCTTTTACCTCGCTTCCTTGGGGAGACCTTCCTCACAGCCGGCTTGACCTGGCCCATGTGGGGACCTGTTGAGGCTCAGTGCAGGCAGCGCTTCCGGGATGGGAAGGGTGAATCCCATCTGCAGCGCTGTGCTGATCCCCTGTGCCTGCAAAAAACCTCCAGCCGCCACGTGTTGTTTTTTTTGGTGTGGCTGGACTCCTCCAGCGCCCCCCTGCCGCCTCTTAGCGCCCCCCTAAGGCATCCCACTGCCCCCCAGGGGGCGGTACCGCCCACTTTGGGAACCACTGCTTTAGACCATGTGTACTCTTACCTGAAACAGGCATATAGAGTAATCCCCCTCCCCCACCTGGGTACATCCAACCATCTTTCACTTCTGTCATGCCTGAAGTATGTCCCTCTCAGGAAAAGAATTCAGCCAGTCATGAAAATGGTTAAAATCTGGCCAGAGGGTGCTCTCAGTCAGTTGCAGGACTGTTTTGAAACCACTGAGTGGAGTGTATTTGAACATCATGGCCTGCATGAATACACTGATGCCGTACTCTCTTACATCAAAATGTGCACTGAGAGTGTAACAACAGACAAGTGCATCAGAGTCTATGGGAATTGTAAACCCAGGATGAAACACTTCTGAGACCCTGGGATTCTGCCTTTAAGGCAAGGGACAGGGATATATAGAGAGAGGCCAGGGCAAACCTTAGAAGAGGTATTAAGATGGCAAAACAACAATACAAATATAAGGTGAAGAACCACCTCCTAGCAGATAACAACCTGAAGCAAGTGTGGCAGGAACTACAGCACCTAACTAAGTATAATAAGGGCAACATGAGGAACACGGTCAATGCTGATGCCTCATGGACAGAGGAGTTGAACATCTTCTTTGCCCGCTACAAGGTGAAAAGGCCAGACCCCGTAGCCTCTGCCTGCCAGCCTTCTGATTCCCAGCCACTTACCCTATGTGAACATTAAGTGAAAGCTGCATTGAAGGTGTGAATCGCAGTAAAGCTGCAGGTCCAGATGGGGTGCTGGAAATAGTGGTAAAGACTTGTGATGATCAATTAGCAGGGTCCTGACAAAGTTTTTTAACATATCCCTGCAAACAGCCTGTGTTCCATCATGCTTAAAAACAACCACAGGCAGTGGTGGTATTCAGCCAGTAGCAAAGATTTGGCATGGGTTATTGAACTGGTAGTAAGTTCTGGCTGGCCATACCCATGAACCGGTTGCCCAGCCGCTGCTGGCTCGCTTGCCCTGCCTGCCCGATGCTCTCTCACCCTGCCTGCGTGACGCTTGCCCCTTAAGGTATTTCTTTCTTTTTTCCCCTCCTGACAATCAGCTGTTTATACGATCAGCTGTGCCAGGATTCCTCTTGGTGAAGCCCAGGAAGGCAAAAAATGGAGGGAGGGGCTCATTCCCCCTCTTTTGTCTTCCTGAGGCCCAGAGGAGCTTCTGGGAGCAAAAACGCTCCTCTGAGGCCCAGAAGGTCCAAAAAATGGGCAGGGGGTGGCTGCAAAAAAGCAATTCCCACCCAGTCACATGGCCACTCCCACCAAGCCACACCCACAGAACCAGTAGTAAAAAAAATTTTTTAATCCCACCATTGGTCACAGGTGACTGTAAATTATGTATGCCAGAGTTGGCTTCATACAGGCCAGTACCAGTATGTCATCTCTAATGAATCCTTTGAAGTTTTTTGAAGGTTGGCTCAAGAATCATGATTTAATTAGAGCGATTGCTGGAATCCTGACAGTGACTTAGTAGGGTTAAAATCATTAAAAAAAAACAATAACAAAACATATAGTGACACAATACAGCTTAACCGAGACGAAAGCTTATTGATGGACATCAAGTAGTACTTAATCCCAAACAATCTAGTTACATACCTTCCTTTGCATCTTGTGTCTTTTCTTGAGTTTCTATCTCAGCATCATTCTGAGCTTTCAGTTCCACCAATTCTTCTTCTTCTTCATCCTCTACAAAACAAAATTGAATTTGAATTTGAATTCAAAATTGAATTGAAATTGAATTTGGAGAATCAATATGTGAAGTGTTGCACGATCCAAAGGGTAAAGAATTTTGGGTATAATAATATAATGCTTGAACAATGAAAAATCATTTGGGCGAGGGGTTTCAAATTTACATTAAATGATAATTTAAATGAAATATTTTATAATATGATATACTGTTGATATTTAATACTAGATAAATTTTCAAAATGTATAAAGGTACTTTAAATGTTGGAAATGTAAATGTAAAGAAAGAACTTTTTATCATCTTTGATGGACCTGTAACAAAGCAAAAAACAAAATACTGGGGAAGATTCATATTTTAATACCAAGGATTCTTAAAGTGAAGATAAAAATAAAACCACAGACTTTTCTTTTAGGCTTAATGGACAAAGAACTTGGAAGAAATGGAACTTTGTTATTAGATATGTTTATTGCAGAAAGAATGCTTTATGCACAAAAATAGAAAGATATTTTAATTCCTACAATGGATGGTTGGCTCAAAAACAATGGTGGAACCTGCAGAAATGGCTAAATTGACTGACTTAATAAAAAAAAAGAACATATCAAACTTTGTTTCTACTTTAAACTACTTCTGGATTTTGTGCTTGAGATGGGAAAAAATGAAACTTGGATTGGATTTTGCTGATTAGATAAGTTTGTTGTTATAGAAATGGCTAGCATATATTAACATGTAAAACTGAAAAGTTGAGGCTGCAAAGATAATATCTTATTGAACTGTTAAAAAGAGTTGGAAGTCAATATTTTTCTTTCTTTTTTCTCCTTTATCCTACATTTTTCCCTTCCCATTTTCCCACTATTTTAATTTTTGGTTGTATTTCATATCCTCATAAATTTAATAAAAATCTGCAAAAAAACATTTAAAAGAAATCTGAAGATACTATTACTTTCATTCAAGATATAGCTAGTTAGACTACTTCAAGGATAATATCCACATCTGGGCACTAAACTTTAAAAAGGGTCAGAAAATCTGAATCCTCAAAAGACAATGAAATGATCTGGAAGTTAGAAATTACTCTATACAGAGAAACTGAAGGAACTGGATATATTTAGCCTTGAGGAAAGAAATAACAATAGAATAAATATGACAGCACTCTTCAAATACCTGAAAAATGTCATATAGAAGTCAAAGCCTATTCTCTTTTATTTCAGAGAACTCAGTGCAGAATAATGGATTAATTAATGAATAATGGATCAACAGGAAGGTAGATTCCAATTAAATGCTATAGGGCACAGATCCTAGCAGGACAGGAGGTTCTCTTCTACAGAATGTATCTAAAAGCGAGTAGAAAGTTATCTGCCTGGAATATTTTTTTCAGGATCCTACACTGAGCAAGAAATTGGAAACAACAGTCAACCCTAGTAATCTGTTTTTCTGCTATTTCTCCAGCAGCCCCTTCAAATATAGGAATATTCAAATAGGAATAATCAGCTAGAACTGATTATTCTCTAATCACTCTGCCTCATTCATGGAATTTTACATAGATTGCAACATTATTTTCTCTTCAATACTCTCCCATGTATTCCTACTATTTCTTCCATCTTTTTTCTTATCTCAGAAAAACCATTACAGCAGAAATACAAGAAATGTAATATTTCTGGCAAATTTTAATATTAATTTTTTAAATTTATTTACCTCTTTAGAATATTTTTATTTTGAAATGTGAAATATATCCAAGAACATAATTTACATAACTGAGTTTCAAAAATTATAATTTTTCTCTAAAGAAGAAATACACATACCCAATTATTATTAGATATATTTATTTATTCTGCAGCTCTTGGTGTGTTCCATCACAATGAGACATATATTAAATGCTTCCACATCTTACATTGTTTTTCAGTATGATATGAGAAATTCTATTTATATAAAATAATATGAAGAATGATTCCAGAGTAATATGACATTTGTTATTTCTTTTGTCAATCAAAACCCAAGATGTTTTTTTTTAATATACCAACCAAGAATCAAAACAGTGATAAGCTTCAAATATTATTAAACTAACTGCCTGCTATTTTCTCATCCTGCAGCACACTTCCAATCTCAGTGATCTTATGTTTGAATTTTTGTCCCTGAGATGCTTCTTTGTAGACAATAAAAGGAAAGGAAGAAAAAAAGAAAAAACTTGTAACAGTTTTAGTCTAGCAGCTACTCTACTAAGGGGACACCTGTTATTCAAACAATTCAATTCTCAGTAGATTAATTCTTCTTTTGACCTACAACAAAGGGTTAAATACAATACTGACCCCAGGTCAGATGTTACTGACAAGTAAACAGGATCGGCACATTTCTGAAAAGTGACCATCACCACTCAACTTGAGATGACAACAACTGGAAGGTACATTTGGTGTTTAAAAGTGGCTCAGCATTAATATGAATTTAATGAGCACTGAAAATTGACACATGTCTACTACTACTAACAGATGTTTTACTGCCCTTCTTTGACCTATGCAAATTATGCTTGCCTTGCTTTTACTTCTTCTACTTATATATGTTTCTTTTTCCTGTTTGGTTATATTTACCTTAAATTATATGAAAGTTTGGAGACTCCGGCTGATATCCACTACCAATTATATCCCCATAAGCCCAACTGAATACATTTGAGGAAGGAAGTAATGCTGTAGCTCAGTGGTAAGCTTTTCTATTGCATCTGTGAGGTCCTGGATACAGTCCCTGGCTCCAATTTAAAGGTTCTAAAAAAAAACACCTCCCCTAGGCATGAAGCCAGTTGGATGACTGTGAGCCAGTCATTCTCTCTCAGTCCTAGGAAGAAGCACTTCCCAAAACATTGCCAGAAAAACTGCATGGATATTAGCCATGTGGTCACCAGGTGTCAGGGTGACTTGAAGGACCATTAGAAGAACATCAAAACAGAACATCCTCTTCCACTCAAACAGCCTATTTTGGTGAATCATTGGGCTAAAGTATCAGACAACTTTATTTGATTGCGTAATGGAGTTGAAGTAGAATTATCCAGTCTTTGCTAATACCTATAAAAAGCAAGACATCAATAGATACAGTGCTTTGGTAACTTGCCATTTATGTTTTGAACAGAAAATGATCCCAGTTTTTCTTTTTCTTTTTTTCAAAAATAATATGAATATCTATGAAGATTCTACATGCCACTGTATTTTGATGCAGAGTTAATGGATTCAGTACTATGGTAATTTGAAAAGTGAATGATTGTACTGGAGGAAGAACTAAAAGGAATGAAGGACTGAGAGATTTTTAGTAATGAGACAATAACATCATATAGGCTATCAAGCCTAATTGAAAATTTTCCTGTTTTCTCAGAATTTATCAACAACAATACTGGAGAAACTACTGTTTTTCCAGTAGCAAAACATCAAAATGGACTAATCCTATTGTAATGCAAAATATAATGAAAAATGCAAAATACCTGGGGTAAGCTTAAACTGAAATGAAATTATTGTGTTGTGTGTGTGTCTTTCTCCCAGAGCATTTATGCCATATTAATTCTACATACACATACAACATGTGTAGATAGATAGATATAGATATAGATATAGATATAGATATAGATATAGATATAGA